GAGGATTTGCTTTGCTGGAGCAGCAGGTGTGGAGGGTGCAGAGGAGAAGGCAGGATGAGGTTGCTGGGGACACCCTGGTGGGGCTGTGCTGGGGCTGCTGGATGCTGCTGCCAGGGCTGGGGTGTCTCTCAGTGCTTTCCTGGCACGGAGCTGTTGCTCCCCAAGGCTTCTCACTCACTCCTTGAAACTTAAAATAAGTAATTTCAATTTACATTCTGCTGGGATTTAAAAAAAAAACTAACAAACAAAACCCCAAAAATCTGACTTTCTGTTTGGTGACCCTTCTTGCTGTGTGGGGAGCAGTGCTGCTCTCAGCCAGGATTATCAGGAATGAGGAGTGGGTTTGAGTTCTAATTGGAGACACATTCAAGTCTTCATTTTGAGAGGTTTGGTGCTAGAGTTTTTCTGAAAATCAGGTTCTCTTGGGGCTTTCTTTAAACACCCAGAACCAATACTATGAACAACTGAAAAATCATTGATCTAATACCACGTGAGCACAGCTGGTTCCAGCTGCCATGGTTGAAGACCATGGTTGGGCTTCAGGCCCATGAAGTACCAAGTGATGGGAATAGTTTTTTTTCCAGTCTGTTCTTCTCTGTAGTTCTGGGCTGTGGTGCTTGAAGGTTCCACCATGACCAAGTCCATTTAGGATCAGGAGGTTAAGGGGAAGTGTCCATAGGAGCAGGCACAGTTTGATCATCCTTCTGGCTTGGTGGATTTTCAGCCACCTTGCTAAGCAGATAAATGACCTTTGTGTGAGGTTGCCTCATCACAGGTGTCACCATCCACCACCTCCAGCTGGGGCTGCAGGAACCTGATGAGCTGCACCTGCCTGATCTGCTGGTGCCTTGGGCTGGGGAGCAGCAACCTCCACCTGAGCAGTGGTGGGAGCAGCAGGAACATCCTGAAACGTTGGAGAGATGCAAGGTGGGGTCTGTCTGTGCCTTCTGTGGCAGATTCTGACCTGTTGTTTGTTGGGTTTGTCTTTGAGTCTGTTGGTTTCAGTAAAAGCTTCAGTAATTTGTTGGGACATACCCAGTGAGCAGATGGAAACACACAGTTGTGTTCCTGGGGGGACTAGTTAGCATAGTTTCTTAACTTGCTTGTGTCCAGTTACTTTTGTGCTAAGACATTTCACTGGTGTTAACTGGTCTGTAGATGTGCACAAGCTCCTCTGGCTTTTGTGCCAGGGAATGTCCCTCAGCTCTGAACTGCACCTCCTGGGGTTGTTCTCCACAGCAGCCCAGGAGAAGTCCTGGGAAGTCCCTCCTGCTCTCAGGGTGTGTTGGAGGTGGCACTTCAGCAGCTCCAGGGGCAGGTGCTGCTTTCCTTGCCTGCTTCAAATGGTTTTTCAGGCAGATGGTGAGAGCTGCTGGGGCTGGGGCAGGATGTGTCCCTGCTGAAACTGAGGTACTTAACCCAGCTGTACCCATGAGAAACCCCCTCAGCTTGGTGAGATGCTTGGTCAGGAAGCAAAGAAGACTGAGCAGGAGTTCCACTCAGCAGCTCTCCTGCCTCACTCCTGTGCAGTGTTCTGTATGTGTCCATATCAGTGGGGTTTCTCTGATTTTAGGCTTGAATATGGTGAGTGTGTCCATAGCTCAGTCTCTGCAATGTGTGTTATTCCATGTCTTTATACACACACAGTTGGAAGTTGTGAGAAACCTGGTGGGGCAGAGTGGGCTCAGCTCAGGGACTTGAAGGCGGGAGCTCAAGGGCCTTGGGTCAGTTGTTGCTCACTGCAGTTTCCATGCTGGGTGCAGGGACAACAGCACTAGGAGCAGATGGGTGGTCTCAAACCCTCTTCCAACCAGGGCAGACCTGGAGTTGGGCTCATGGGTTGGAATTCTCTTGCTGCCCCACAGAGGTGAGGTCCTCTCTGAAATCACACCCACCAGCTTCAGGTGGAAGTTTAGGTGAGTCCATTGCAGGCAGGTGATGGAGGAGTGTGGTTGTAGCTTGTTCAGCAGCTTCACCAGCCCTGACAGAACTTTCCCACACACAAAGAGAATTTATTGCTGCTTCTCTTGAGCCACAGCAGTCATGGCAAACAAAATCCCAGCTACTCCTCTGGGTAATGTGTCCTTAGCAAGGCCTGATAGCAGCTGGCTGAGTGTCCCAAGGCTTTGCTGCCTTGGGTGCTTTTTGGAGAGCTGCAGGTGGCAGGGAGGGTGGAGAACTGGGTGCACAAATTTAAAAAAAAAACAAAAGGAAAAGCATAGAAGCAGGAGAACCCTGAGGTGCCCCCTCAGCAGCTCTGCAGGAGGGCTCAGGCCTCCTGATGGCCAGGGAGGGGTTTGGGGCGCAGGGGGTTGGGAGTTCAGGGACATTCCTACGTCCTGTATGAAAAGGGAAACATTTTAAATGGCTTGATTGTTGTTCACTGACACCCTAAAATCAGTTTTCCAAAAACTAGCCAGTGAGCTGTGACAGATAAACCATCATTTATCAGTAGCATAACTTGGAGCAGCTCCGGGTGGGTTTTGGTCTCCAGCGTCCGTCGCGCTCAGCACCATCTGCCTGCAGCAACAGTGACAGCAGAGCTGGAGGAGCCTCATTCTCTGCAGCTGATCAGTCTGTGGAGCAGGTGGAGCAGCCTCTCGTGGCAAAGTCCCAAGTTCCTGCAGATGTTAAAGACCAGAGTGGTTTTCCAGTCGTGGTGCAACAAATTCCT